GTGGCCTGGAACGTGCCCACCCAGGAATGCAAGCCCCGCTACCAGGTGGAGTTTGACTTCAGCATCTTCGATCTGGACGCCTCCCCCAACGAGGGCTTTGTGCGGCAGGACCTCACCATCTTCTACAAGGAGCGCCTGGGGCTCTACCCCTACTACACCCGCGAGGGTGTGCCCGTCAATGGCGGTGTCCCTCAAAACAGCAACCTGCCAGAGCACCTGGCCCGCCTTGAGGGCGGCATCACCAAGTACATCCAGTCGCCCACCAAGGAAGGGCTGGCCGTCATTGACTGGGAGGAGTGGCGGCCTGTCTGGGCTCGCAACTGGAAGCCCAAGGACATCTACCGGGAGGTGTCACAGAGTCTAGTGTTAGAGCGTAACAAGGACTGGCCCCCCGAGAAGGTGAACAAGCAGGCAGTGTTTGAGTTTGAGTCGGCTGCCCAGGAGTTCATGGTGAAGACCCTGCGTAAGGCCAAGAGCATCCGACCCAAGCAGCTCTGGGGGTTCTACCTCTTCCCTGACTGCTACAACCATGACTACAGCAAGAACAAGGAAAGCTACACTGGGCAGTGCCCAGACGTGGAGAAGACCCGCAATGACCAGCTGGTGTGGCTCTGGAAGGAGAGCACAGCGCTCTACCCCTCCATCTACCTCGACCCACTCCTGGACTCCACTCCCAACATCCGCAAGTTCGTGCGGGCACGGGTGATGGAGGCCATACGCATCTCCCAGCAGCACCACGACAACTACTCCCTACCTGTCTTTGTCTACACCCGGCCCACCTTCATCCGCAAGCTGAATGTGCTCAGCCAGGTAGGGCTGCACCACAGGGACATCCTTATCCCACGCCCTGGGCATCTGGGCTTTGGGGTCAGCTGAGGTGGTTCTGCTGCCAGTGTTCCATCTTGCTTCCCTGGAGCAGAGTGACTCTGGAGACTGGTGTCTGCCCTCATGGTGCTACCATGGCTGTCTCCATATGGGGTGGGGAGCAGCACCCTTTGGCATGTGGCTGGCCCCAGGAAGCAGGAGGGGTGCCCAGCCCTGCTTCCTTCCCTTCAAGGGGTGTCACTGTGGGAGACCCCCTCAGCTCAGCCCCTCTGTGGCTGGATGATAGGATGCCACAAACTGCTTCCATTAGGTATGGGGTGTCTGGCAGGACTGGCACCAATGGTCACCATTGCCAGAGAAGTCCCTGGGAGGTACTGCAAGACTCACAGGTCCTGGCAGCCACAGGACCCTGGGGTATGTGAGCTCACAGCCCCTGTGCTGTGCTGGCTTAACCCCTGAGGAGGAGGGCAGTGTTGGGAAGTCTTGTCCCCAAGGAGCTGGGACAGTCCCCTCTCCCCGTGGCTTTGAAGCAGGGGTGGGTCTTGCCTCCTCGGCGCTGCAGTGGACGCTTTGGAGCACACTGTGCTGGGAGTGTGGGTGCTGTGTGGGGTCTGTGGGCACTAACCAGGCTCTGTCCCCACAGCTGGACCTGATCTCCACCGTCGGAGAGAGTGCAGCACTGGGTGCAGCCGGGGCCATTTTCTGGGGTGATGCAGATGATGCCAAAAACCGGGTAGGTTTGGGGTCTGCATGGGAGGTAGATGATGGGTGAAGGGCTCACCTGCCCCCAGAGGAGGACCAGCGGCTGAGCTGTCCTCTCCATCTGAGGTGCTTCTCTCCCTGTGTCACACGAACACGCCCCTGGTGCTCCCTTTCCCCTAGGAGTTGTGTCAGACTTTGAAGAACTACCTGGAGGGGGACCTGGGGCGCTACATCGTGAATGTCTCGACAGCGGCAGAGCTCTGCAGCACAACACTGTGCCAGGGCCAGGGACGCTGCCTGCGCCAGGACAGCACTGCTGATGTCTTCCTCCACCTCAACTCTACCAACTTCCAGCTGCGGCGCCGGGATGCAGACCACCCCAAGCACCCCCTCTTCTGGGTCGAGGGCCAGCTATCCTCTGCTGACATCCTCTTCCTACGGACCCACTTTCACTGCCACTGCTACCAGGGCTGGCAGGGCAGTAGCTGCCAGACGCCCACTGGCCCTGGCAATAATGCCCCTGGGCCCCTGGCACCACTAGGACTTGTGGTGCTGTTGCTGCTTGCAAGCTGGTGCTAACCCCCCCTGGACTGAGCTGCCCCTTTTTGTGGTGTAGGGGCCTATTTAAGATATCACTACCCTGCCTGGGAGGCAGCTTGTTATGAGGGCTGCCCCTCACTGTGAGGGGCAGAGCTGTGTTGCCCCATCTCTGCCCTCCCTGTTGCAATGGGGATGGAGGGAGGAGGGGGGCCCCTCTCCTGTTGTAAAGAGAGGGATGGGGGCAAGAGGGACATGGGGGTGGGGAGTGGGTTCTGTGTGGTGCTGAGCCCCTGTGTGCTGCCCCACACTCAAGTGCTTTACCTCGAATAAAGCTGGTCAGAGGGAGAGGTGTGGGCTGATTTGGGGCGGGGGGGAGGCCACGGGTCACCCGACTGCCAGACATGGCCACCATGGGGTGGGAGCGCTGGCGGTGGGTGTGCAGCTCGGGAGAGGCACTGCAGGGTGGGAGCTCTCCCGCTG